ACATCAAGATCTGGACGATATGCGCACAAAACCACAAGAGAAAGGCCATGGTGTGACAAAGCCCAAAGTAGATGGTAAAGTTTGCGATCCGAAAAATGTGTCGACGAAGAAGCACAAATGCGTTCAATGTGAGTATTCCACCGATCGCAAAGACAATTTTAATAAACACTTGTTGAAACACACTGGCAAGAAGCCACATGGTTGCGATATCTACCCGAAACGTTTTACAAGCAAACGAAATCTCCGTGCCCACATGAAAGTGCACGTCGAAGAGTTTCTGTTCCATTGCCCGGTCTGTTTGCAAGGATTCGATGGAAAAAACGGAAAGGGAGCACACGAAGTCAATTGCAAGACTCATATGCTCTCTCACTCTGGTGAATATCCGTTCGAATGTCAACATTGTTCGAAGCAATTCAACCAGAAAGTTGGCCTCAACAAGCACATGGTATCTCACACAAAAAATCTTCCGTTCAACTGTTTTATCTGCCGCCGTTTTTCAAATAATGTCAAGAGAAAGGCTCATCAGCGGAACTGCAATCGACGCTACTACGAGTGTCATTTGTGCAAGAAGTTCTTCCGATCATCTAATGCTGAATTGAAACGTCACATGCATGTTCATTCAGGTGACAAGTCATTCTAATGTGAGCTATGTGGCAACACATTCACACTGAAATCGAATGTGAACAACAACATGAAAAACGTTCACAACAGAAAATGCTGATTACCGCGATTGACTTGCACAGATTCTCTCATCAACCATAGAAGTATATCAGATCAAGTTCATTGCTAAAAAAGATATATGTACAGAATCGCGGGCAAACCCAATTATTCCAATCTTTCAATATAGAAGTTACATTCAAAATCTTATACTTGAAGAATAAAGTTGGTAGCATTTTTCTTGTGATTGTAAATCTTCAGAATTCAATATCTATCTCTATTGTTTGAAAAATCAGTTTAGATCTCTTCCATATACGAACCGAATTATTCTATTCATAGCAATCGAATCGAACCTATGGACGACAATAAACGCAAATTTTTGTAAAACGAATTTGAACTTGCATTACTTTATTCACGACCAGTGACATCTCACTGAGTTTCATACCAAATATTGACACTTCATTCCCCACACAGACGGCTGACACTTATACAATCATAAGCGCTACATCACATCGCGTCGTCGCTGACAGTGTTATAGTAATTTGTTTTCATCGATGACAATCGGAGTGAACACACGTTTCACAACATCGCTACTGCCAGCTCAGCAATTTGTCGATTCAGAGCCAACAAAGAAAGAACAATTCGATTAAACACAAGCAAAATCAGCCTTTGCTGTAAGTTGAAGACATTTTCGATTATTTTTAGAGTAAATAACAATTTGAATTGATAAAACCCAGTCGGAGGAAATCTTAAAATTGTGAAACAAATGAGGGATGAAAAGAAGTGAGCAATTTTTTATGTCTCACTGCCTAGTAGTGAATTCATTTTGAAGACATCAATTGTTTGTATTGGACTAACGAAACCAAAAGTCGCTCATTGAATTAATCGTTGGTCAATTAATTATAATAATTTGATGTATCGAAATTCATAAGAACTAATTGGCAATGCTGGGGGTATTCGGGGAGAGTGTTTCTTTCGTAAAAACAAACCTAACCTCAAAAGTTCTCTTTGCTGTGTTTTAAATGTCAAAATCTTTGCATCGAATTTCAGGCGATCAGTAAACGAGAAGCAGAGTTCTGGCCTTCCAACCGATACGAATGACCTGAGAATGTCCGCGAACCAAAACCACATTCAGTCGGCTGGTTCAATCGAAATCAAGCAAGAAGGTGACATCAAGCAAGAGCCAGTGTCCATGGATGAAGTGGTTGAAGTTTCGGCTTCGAATTATCGCAATCTACGACGTGTTCCTGGTTTCAATGGGCGTGACGTTGAATATGATTTGGATCACTTGGACGAGATCGATGCTAAGGTCGAGGTGAAGAAAGAATGTGACGGAAAGAAAGGAGAACCAACAACAAATGCTGACTCGAAAGAAGAAGCTACGGGCAGCCAGCAAAAGCAGCAGCAGCCACTGCCACACGGTGAAGGCGATTTCATCGTCCCAGAAAGTGATGCCAGTAGACGCGATACACAGAAACGAGGTGGCAAAGCTCATCTAAATTTATCGAAGAAACATAAATGCCACATTTGCGTCTATTCAACGCGATGGAAATGTGATTTGAATCGCCATTTACTGAAACACACTGGCGAAAAGCCGCATGGATGCGATTTCTGTCCGAAACGTTTTACAAGCAAACAAAATCTCCATGCCCACATGAAAGTGCACGTCGAAGAGTTTCTGTTACATTGCTCGGTTTGTTTGCAAGGATTCGATGGAAAAAACGGAAAGGAAGCTCACGAGAACAATTACACGACTCGTCGCTACGAATGTAATTTGTGCAAGGAATCGTTTGGATCAATAAAAACACATATGATGGAGCACACGCATGTGCACAGCGGTGACAAACCATTCCAATGCAACGAATGCTCGAAGCAATTTACACAAAAAAGTCATCTTAAGGAACACATGAAGGTTCATGGTGGTCCACGTTCATTCCGCTGTACCAGATGTCAACTGGGATTCGTTCGCCAAGATGAAAGAAATGCACATGAGGGGAAGTGTAATCGCCGTTTGTATGAGTGCTATGTTTGTGGAAAGTCATTTGGTTTCAACAAATGCAATTTGATCGACCATATGCGCACACACTCTGGTGAAACCCCGTTCGAATGTCAACATTGTCCGAAGAAATTCAACCAGAAAAGCAATCTATACAAGCACTTGGCATCTCATACAAAGAAGCTACCATTCAAATGTTCAATTTGCCGACAAGGTTTCGCGAAACAATCTCAATGCAAAGCTCATGCAAAAAATTGCCATCGACGGTGCTATGAATGTCATTTGTGCAAAAAATTTATCGGTTCAGTCAAAACAAATATGGAAAGACATATGCGAACTCATTCCGGTGCTAAGCCGTTTCAGTGCCAGCTGTGCCACAACCAATTCACCTCAAAAGGGAGCCTTCAGAGACACCTCAATTTACATCAAAAGAGAACCTTCAGGAACACATAAGTCGTATCCACAACAAGCAAAATCGTTGATCAAATCAATCTCATCGAATGGGTTGCCTGAATGAA